TCAGATTCCTTTCATATAGTATTCAGGACAAAGTTTTTTTACCCGCAGGATTAGGCCATGACCCATGTAGTTTTAGAGATAAGAAATCTAGGGAAAGTGTTCTGCTTGTGACAGAGTCTTCTTGGGTGTGTGCAGTGTGAGTGCTTCTTTGTGGCAGGATGCATCCTGGGGCTTGAAGCATTGGAAGTGAAATGGCTTCAGTTAAGGTGCCTGATTAGCACTGACTTGAAGCGACCAACATGAATTAGACCCAACTCTGTGAGGCAGTGGAAGACAGGAGGGCCTGGCGTGCTCTGATCCATGGGGTCACGAAGAGTCGGACACGACTTAACGACTAAACAACAACAAGGCACCACAGAATTTATGTCCATGTAGATGTTGGGCCTCATCCCTCCTCCCTTCATGAAGTGCCAATTGCTACTCCACAATTTTATGTCAACTATTTTTCTCATTTCTGACCTGCTTCCCTAATGCCAGAATTTATAAATCATCACCTTATCTTCAGAGCAATTGACAGCATTCCACAATAAAAAAAAATTGGAGCAGTGGCAGCAGTGAAGGCCATGATCAGGTGACAGAAGCAGCATGGAAATGAGAACAAGGAAGGAACATCTCCCTCCTTTGAAATAGTGAGGTCCTGAAGATGAACTTTGAACTCAAAGAAACCAGTGTCAATGCTCCTCATCAAAAAGCATCAACACTTTGACCCTGTGAGCCCTAAACCCATTAGGGCACTGGGCAACAAGAATGTGATCATTGTGAATAAAATAATGTGCTACCTGAGGACATAGGAAAGATACACTTGCAACTTACCAGAAGGTATTCTCACAATTACATCAGTTGATGTAAAGAACGTGCCTATGTTCCCGTCTGCTCATCTATTGCCATATAGGCCTGCATGCACAAGGGCTTAATAGTTCTTTGTTACCAGAAAAACTTGGGAAGTTACTTTGAAAAGATGATCAGTTATATTGATAATTCCAAGACCCTTACCTAAGAAATGAGCTCAAGCTAACATTTTTTAAAAATAGCTTTCTCATTTTCAAAGGAAACATAGTTATTTGAGTTACTTTTAAAACAATCTGAATAGTAGACACCACTGTGTGTGCTACAAAACTATGTTTTGGTCCATTTTATTGTTGCCTCAACAAGAGTAGACCTTTGGTCTAGATGGGTGGGATAGAAATCCAATAAATAAATCCACAACACAGCACAAATCATAGCATAAGCCAGCACTTGAAAGATTCTTTCTTCAGCAACTTCCTGTAACTATAAACATTGTTTAGAATTAGTTATACTGCAAAAAGAGTGAAATTATTTATCCCCTGTTAAGTTGCAGCTGGAATGCAATGTAATTATACCTTTTCTATTGGAAAAGGAAACTAATTCCAAATAAATACTCATTTCTAACTATCCAAGGACAGCTTAGTGACAAATGAGCAGAGTAGTTAGCACAGGCTGCATCATTTGAGCACACTAGCCCCAGAGGGTTTACATTAATCAATGATTCTTTAATACTTCTCCGTTCTACATCGATGTGTAATACTTCTGAGTATACTCTAGGCATGGCCCTAGACCAAAAGGTGCTCCAGACAAAGAGTATTGCTGGTGCTTGCCCTCCACTTATTCAACCTTTGAATACCTCTTTTTTTTACTGCCTTTGTAGCATATTTCATGACTGTGGTGTATTATTTGCATGCATGATTTATGCCTGTTATATAAAATTATAAATTAGTATGCATGGATCTGATCACATTCCTCACATTTACACAGTTAGATACATTAGCCTTGATGTGGTATATTTCCTCACATATAATAAAAACCTTGTACAGTGGTGCCCCACATAGCGACGTTAATCCGTTCCGGATTAATCGTCGCTATGCAAAAACATCGCTAAACGGAATGAAAAAAGCCATAGGAATGTATTAAACTTCATTTAATGCGTTCCTATGGCTCCAAAACTCACCGTTCAGCGATGTTCCTCCATAGCGCCGCCATTTTCGAGCCCTCGGTAAGCGAGGGCAGGGCGCGAAAACACTTGCAGCGGCCATTTTGAGCGCCCGGCAGCCATTTTGGAACCGCCGATCAGCTGTTTAAAAAACATCACAATGCTAAGATCGCTAAGCGAAACGCTTACCGATCATCGCAATGCGATGTTTTGCCTATACAGAACATTGCAATGCGATCGCATTAGTGATCTAAAAAATTAGATTGCTATGCGAATTCATCGTTAAACGGTGCGCTCGTTATGCGAGGCACCACTGTACTGGTCAGTGTGGCCTGCTTTACAAGTGAAGACAAACCATCACGATGTTTATTTCAATCGCAGGCAGTGGAAAATATCACTGAAGAGCAGAGTCTGAAAAATTATCTTTTTGGATAACAGTTCCCAAAATTGGCCAACTAATATGGCTGGCAGCCAGGTTGGAAGGAGGACTTTGGAGTTACAACTTTTCCAAGCTTTGCCCCCAATAGGTGCCCCAGAACACCTATAGTTCTCTGGATATTGCTGAATTATAATTCCCACCATCCCGAACCAGCATAGCCAAGGTTAAAAGATGATGGGAATTTCAGTGCAGCTCACAGTTGGCAACTACAGTTGTAGACAGCCACTTGTCTCTAAATGCAGCACTGGACTTACCTTTCAGCTTATCATGAAATCAAATAAACAGCCAAACAGGAACATATGGGTGAACTCAGGAAATCCAACAAATGTCAGTAATCCGGTGGTCCTTTAGTGTCATACAAGGTGGAAAGCGACAAATTGTCCCTTCTTTTTTGCAGATATTCAGACATGCCAGTCCTTGGTAGGATCTTTGGCATTGTGACAGAATTGTACAAACAGCTTATTACTTTTTAAGAAGGTACATGGGTCCCTGGTTGTCTGCATACGCAGTCAGCATCTCTGTTTTTCACTGGCTGTGAGGTAAAATATGTGAGAACCCCAAATGTGGGTTAGTTAAGAGCATTTCCTCACATCTGGCAGTCATTTATATTTCCTGTCGGTTTTTGTCACAGAGAAGGTAAAAAAGTGGACTTTACAACTTTACCTTAATGCCTGTGCTTCCTTTTCTAGCATGACTGCTTCACAATGAACTTCTATCACATTATGTTTAATATGTTGAAAAGGCAACCAAATGCTGAAGCAGCTTTCCTATGAACAAAGTTTACAACATCTGGGACTTCTTAATTGTTCAAAATTTTTACTCTTCTCAATGTTGCTCTTGGATGATCTGCTCCACTATCTGCTCAGCAGTGGAAACAGAGATGACAGAAATATACAAGATTATAATATGGAGAAAATAAGCAGAGATAATTCAAAATAAATGCATCAATCTGGGGGGAGGGAGGGGAGAAACAGACTAAGATGATGGGATTTTGTGGTGCACACAATTAACTTTTCCATGTTCTGGAAGTTCCTCTATGACCTGTTATGATCATCAGAGATCACTGAAGTACTTCATTATGATGGATAATATCTGAGAATATGAATGGAATTCTTACTAAAAATCTGGTAGTTTACACCAGTGGTTCTTAACCTTAGGTTACTCAGGTGTTTTTGGACTGCATCTCCCAGAAGCCTTCACCATCAGCTGTGCTGGCTGGGGTTTCTGGGAGTTGCAGTTCAAAAACGCCTGAGTAACCCAAGGTTAAGAACCACTGGATTACACTACAAATACATAGTGTCAACATTGCCATCAAGCAGACCTTAGGGAAAAAGGTCTCTGGCTGAACTCAACAGAAAGAGTTGGAACAGCCTCAGACACAGACATCCTAAATAGAACACTGTGGTTTGCTCTCCGCTTATTTTTTTTAACAGGACACTAGTTTAGAGGTGACACTACATACAGTATTCTAATATGCTACAGATGACTTTCATATGTGTTGAGGCTTTAGAATACTTATGCAGTTTTGGAAAGGAATGGTCCATGTGATCAAAGACAATCTGATGACATCCCTTTAATCATTTTGCTAGACTTCGTAAAATATGTTTTGTTTGTTTCACTTTTTTAAAGACACTTCTGGCCACCTACAGAATAAAGAGGCTTCTGTAAGGCAATATATGACTTTAATAAAACATCAATCATGCACAATTAAAACCCAATTAATACTTAATTAATTCCATCAGGAGAAGGCCACTGAAAACATCTTTAGGACACTTCTGTAAAGACGGGGCTGAAGTATCAAATTGGTCATGGTCCATACATACGGTGACACAACATAAAAAGCCAATTCCTTTTTGCCCATTCTTGTGCTACGTAAGAAAAGAAACTAACAAAATTCCTTATGACTGCCAGGGTGGCTTCACATCTACAAGAAAAACAGCTGACTTACTGGATTAAAAATCATGGACCATGTTAAAATTAAATCACTGAGAAGGAAGAGAAAAATAGAAAGAGATTTCAAGAGAAGCCAACTTCAGGTTTGTTTTTTTTGGTGGGGAAGTATTTGATATGGACAGAATATGTTTTTGGAATTACTGCAGTCTTAAAACATAAAGAGAAGTTAATGCTGCACTATATTCAATCTCAGTGGCTGAAGTCTTGTAGCTTAGCAGTCACATCTAGAGTAGGCCTATTAAATCAGTGAAGAATTGGTGAGTTACATCTAGAGTAGGCCTATTGAATCAGTGAAGAATTGGTGAGTCGTCATCCATACATTCCATTGATTTGGTTGGCTTACCACTCTGAATAATGAGATTTCAGCAGGTCTTTATTTTTTTTTTTAAGAAAATGCTAAAACTTATTTTAAAATGTTATTTTTATAGTAGTTTTCATTCATGTACTGTATCATTTCATAGAGCACTTTGCAAATCTGTGATCTTAAACATGCTCACTTTCACAGTAATATTGCCTGTGATGGGAAAGTTAATTTTTTTTGGTAAAATATGGTAACTTTAAGAATACCCGTACTGTATCATTTCATAGAGCACTTTGCAAATCTGTGATCTTAAACATGCTCACTTTCACAGTAATATTGCCTGTGATGGGAAAGTAAAATATGGTAACTTTCAGAATACCTCAGCCAGCATGAGTAGACAGGATATTTGGGGAATTGTAGTCCAAAACGTGACTCTTCCCATGCCTAACTTGACACGTTAAGTCATTATCGTTACCATTTTGCAGCCGTGGAGTTAAACAACAACTGGGCCAAGGGCACCCGGCAAGCCCCTGGCAGAAAGGAAGCCTGGCAAGCGTTTTCAGGATCAAGTGCCAATTTCCTGAAATCATCCAAAACATTACAAGTCAAAGCTTGAAAAGATTAGTACATGAAAAAAAAAAGATATTCTCAAAATACAGATTACTATTAACAGGCTTTGCACAGTGAAGTGTCCTACTTGTGTATCTCATAAAGAACTTATTTCAGACTTTGTGTATTCAAGCCCAAGGACAGACAGAAGAAAAAAAGAAAAGAAAAATACTTTTTGCAGACAGAGCAGGTTGGGAAACACAAATGTCTTGACTTTCTAGATGTGTATGTATATAGAAGAGGAAAAGAGCCTTGTTGCAGCAGCCTCCCATTCTTCACTTTAGTTTGCTCTCCATTTCCCCTTATTCTTGTTGCCATCAAAAGAAATATCTCTAGGTGGTGAAGACATGATGTACTGCAGGGCATGGCCAACTATGGGGGATTGGGGAGCAATTTTCTTCATCAGGGACCCTCCAAGACCTGCAAAAGGAAGGGAAGGGAAAGAAAGAAGAAGTTGTGTCGTTTTTTTTTTTTAATGGTATTTTTCAAGGTGTCAAGTGGCACATGGGAGTCCAGGAACTTATTTAAAGGGGGAAATCATCACTTCTCCAAGATATGGCAAGTCACAGATGTGTGTGGGAGAGGTGGGGCTGATAATAGCTTTGAAGGAACTGTGTGTGATCCTATGGCCACATTTCTCCCACCCTTGTAGAGTGCAATGATGGAGATTTATTTCACACCAAGAACTGAATTCAATTGCGTAGAATTCCAGAGGGGTGGATCCAAGGGATGGTCAGGACAAGAGTGTGAAACCAAAAACATCAGCATATTCTAGCATAAAGCTTTTTCTGCCAGAAAGTAACCCTTGGAGGATGCATGTCAGCCTCTTAGATTTTGGAAAAACCTCACAAACATTAGAGAATAAAATGATACAGTGACAGGGATGTGTGACCACTAGATCACTGCGGACAGCCGAGGTTGCACTCCAGAATGTGAGGCTTCTCTCACCCCAAAAGTAGTGATTAGTGCGAGGCTCAGACTGGAGAAATACAGGGTACATTCCCCTCTCAGTAAAGTTAATGATAATTGTTGTGAGGATACAGCTCAGTGATTTAGGTATCTGACTATGAAGTTAGAGGTTGGGAGTTTGATTCCCCACTGTGCATCTGAGAAGGGCCAGCCTGTGTGGCCTTTGGCAAGTTGCAAAATTGCACCCCCAAAAGAAAGAAATGGTAAACCACTTCTGGAAAACCCTGAAAAAGGTTGCCGTAAGTCAGAATTGACAGCTCATGATGATTATTATTTGAAGAAAAGTGAGGCATATATGTACCAAGTATAACAAAGTGTAAGGTTAATAGTACTCTGCCCCACAAGCAGATCCAGTGGAACCACTGGAATGCAAGCTGCCAACCAAACTTTGATTACACATGTTAAGCCCAGCGTGCTTGCACGGCACAGTAGCAGCAGTGGGGCAGTAACTGAGGGTTGACCCAGACCATGTGCTTGTGAGGGCTGCTGGTAGTACCTGCTGACCTCAGTGCAGGCTATGGTTCCTGCTACGCTTTCAATGTTCAGGCTCAAAGCACATCAAAGGCTTGAATGTGCTGCACATTTATTGTGCAAACAAAGCCCTGAAGAAAGACTCACATCACAAGACTAGCAGTAATGGATGTCAATAGACAGGATGTCGATGGACTTCCTTATTGGTAGCTTTCAAGCTGAGGCAAAATTACCACGAGGATCAGTAAAAGGAAAAAAAAATTTTTTTTTCAATGTATTTACAGCTTTTATTAACAGAAACACCAATATCAACTGGAAAGGAAAAGCAAACAGAACCAAACTAAAATCTCTTGAACAATACTAAACAATTGATGTACTTTCTAAATAAGACTAATCAATGTAGTCAAAGTCATCTGGAATACCAAATGTTTTGTCAATTTTGTTGTCTTCAAATCCAAACTTCCGCTTGGCCCATGATTTTATTGCAAAAATATTATCTGTAAACAAAATAAGAAAAAAACCACATTAATTTAAAATAAGTAATAGCATTTTCTACTTTCAGGAGATAAGAAATTTGGAACCACTAACCATTATTGAAATGATTAGAATTTTTATAAAAAGAATAATTAAGGGGTGAGAACCTCAATTTAGAGACTCAGAGCCAATCCATACATATTCGGGTTTTAAAGGCTGGGACGTGAGGTCTGGTTTGCAGTTTAGGATGCTGAAGCACTGTGGATTACTTCTGAGTGGACATGCACAGAACTGAGCTATGTTCTCCACATGTGAAGGGAAAAAGGTCCAAATTGGTAAGAATCATATTTGGCCAACCCCACAATGTGTATTCAAATTGCAATCTAGTCATCAGACTGCAAAGGTCATCTTATCTCCACACCACACACACTGGCCTAGAGCTTCCCTACTAGTCTCAAAACTCCCGATGCTGATGAATGCTGGATAAATGGCAGCAAGCATGTTTAGATTGGATGATATGGTATTTTTATGGCAAGCTATTCAGATTAAACAGTTGTGAGGAGCACTAATGGGATTTGGTTCGTCACTCAATGTTACTTTATTGACTGCAGTTTGTTTATAGCTCAAAATAGTTTTATATCAAACTTGGGCTATAAGAAGTTTGGTCCTCCTGATGTTGTTTATTACAACTCCCACTCTTCCTGACCATTGGCCATGTTGGTTGGGACTGATGGGAGTCTGAACCCAGCAGAATCTGGAAAATCACAGCTTTTCGTCCATGTTTTATAGCCTGTGAAGCAGAGGTGTAAATTTATCCTTGTTTTGCAAGCAAGGATAAGCTTGAAAATTATTCTCCTTGTTCCATGGGGCATTTGTTGCATTCTCAACAAAAGAAAAGAATGAGAAAGAGTTTTGTGCAAATTAAGTAAAACAATGCTTTAAACACAAATAAGACAGCCTGGGCAAAATGTTGATGGTTGCTGCTTTTTGCATGAACTTTTAAGGATCAGAATCACTGGAAGGGTTGTTTGCATTGTTAAGATCTAGCTAGCTCTGCGCATTTTGTGTGCTACTGTTGTTTGCAGGCAGTCTGTGCTAGTTTTGGAGGTTCTGACATAACAGTGTGCCTTGTCCTGCTTTCTCCCAAAAATGAGCAACTTCACGAGGCTTGGAAATTCCTCACTGAGGAATCAAGAAGAACAATGAATTCAGCAAGTATTTTTTACATCTCTACTGTGAAGAAATGAATCCGCAAGAACTTTACACAGTACTTACAGATGGAAACTGCTTCATAGAGAGGTCCTCTTCAGCTTGAAAGCATGCAGGGCTAAAAAGGATGGTGGGGATGGGAACAATCATGTGGGCCTGACTAGCCATATCCCCAGTCCACCCAGAAGTCCTGCAGAACCTTTGCACAATTAAGACAATTGCTTATGTAGGCATTGGAAGTGCAATCAACTGAATCCACCTTAGAACATGTCCATGGTTGGTGGACCATTCTTATCCAAGATACATGGGCGCAGTGACAGCATGTTCAGCTGAATGCATTTACAACATATCCGTAGCCCTTTGTATTGAGTACACAAAGGGCTTCAAGGAGGTCTGGCTGCGGTGGGGACATGGAGGCCAGGGCTTATGTGAACCCCTGCTGCCCACCACCCTTTAAGCCCCACTGGCTTTCAGGTTGAATGCCAGAAGAGAGCTATACAGTGGCTTATATTAGACAAAAAACCACAATTATGCCTGGCAATAACAAAGGCTATTGTTTGAAGCAGAGGAAAATTGTATCTCTAATAACAATAATAGATCCATAAAAAGTAGCAGCAATGGCAATCATTAGTAACAAGAAAAATTTATATGCTGTTAGCAGCCCATTTGTTGCTACACAATTCACATGTTAAGTAAGACATAACAGTTATAAAGTTTTGTGAATGACTGCTTCTTCCTCTTGAGTTCATCTTTGCTCAAGGAAAAGACAGAAATGTAAACAGACACACACCAGTCCATCTGTTAGCTGCCTCCTTTGCTACTTTATTTGCTTGACCTGAAAAAAAGAAAAAAATCAGCATCTTAAATTTCTAGAACCAAAATACAAAAGGCCCAAAGGGTTAAGCCCCATTTTTTACCCTTCTGTGAACCATGAACACTATTCTTATTTTTCAAGAGCTTAAAATGGTGTTACTACTTTTCTGAAGTTAATATTTAACCAACTCTCAAATAAGATTAGTTAAGTTATATCAAAGTGAAATGACATTCTGAAGATATGATTTCTGCTGGTGTACTAAAAGGTGCATGTGGGGGAGGAGAATCCAACATTACAACTATATTCTGTTGTCATGGATCACAGATGTACGTATTAGCAGCAGAAAGAGAGGGTTAACACAGTACTTTGTCTGTTATATAGTAATGACACTTTTTGTTATTGACGCCTTCAGAATTTTCTGTTGGAAGTTTAAATTGCCTTCTTCAGCTAGGCACTTTCTAGACGTATACAGAAGTCACAATCTGACTGCTTGCCTGGAGTTGGTACGGTTTATAGTCCAACACATTTAGATAGCACCAAGTTAGGGAAGGCTGTCCTTAAAGCACAGTATCTAACAACCTAAGGAATTCAGTTTTGCTATTAATCTGCTCCATACAGTATTTTCTCTCTTTTTTTTTTCACCTGCATTTTCCATGGCATATTCAATTGTTGAAAAAAAACCTCCAGTTCATGAATGTGGGATATTGTGCCGGTGTACCCATGATTAAAAAAAGCCAGGAAATAGCCCAATATTGCTGCACAACATCATGCCCACATTGCCAGCAGGAAAAAGGATGCCGAGCTTTACATAGCGAAGCGTTGACAACATCAATGGAAGCAGTCAAGATGGTCTACAGAATACCCTCTTCTGCTCACTATCATTCACGCTTGGTGAAAAACAGTCCTGACAATTGCTTTGCGTTTGGGTGCGAAGTGGTGAACTGATGAAAAAAGGAGTCAGCTTCTGGGATTTTTCCTTTGCGTGGTGTCACTTTGTGAATAGTAGTGGTGCCGGGGGACTCCTGTTCAACCCCTTGAACTTTAGCCTGTGGAGTGTCTCAGGGTTCCATGATGCCCCATACTATTTTAAATATACATGAAATACCTTAAAGAGGCTGTCCAGAATTTTGTGGTCTGGTACCACCAGTGTGCTGATGACATGTAACTCCAACTGCTTTTTAAGATCTTCCAGGTGGCCCTTCTCTCAGTCTCTCAAGCCCCGCTATGTGATCACCCAGACTGTTGAATATTGCTAATGCGCAATATATTGGTGCTGGGCACAAATAATATACTGTTATCCTCTCTATTCCAATAGCATACAATGTTTGGGTGAATGGCATAAAACATTTTTTAAAAATTAAAAATCCCTGTTATTAAAGCCCCTAGAAATGTCTAAAAATGCCCTTTAAAATCATTCTTGCTAACACCTAGATTATTGTACTCGTTAAATCAGTACAGCTAATGCTGTTACTACCTATGGGCTGAAATCCTGTTGACAGAACGAAGCCTGCAGAAAAGTGATGACTTTATCAGCAGAGAGAGACCTTTGGTCGTTAAAAGACTTACTCTTTCTCACTGGCTAACCTGGGTAAATGTGACTGTGTTAGTTGAATTAGTAACGGCAGGTTACTGACCTGTAATTGTAGTTCTTCGAGTGGACCTGTGATTCACACTGCGGGTAATCTGCGCTTGTGTGGAGCCTCTTTGGAACATTCTAGAGCTTTTGCGGTAGCAAAAGACACATTAGAATAGACCCCTCCCCCTCGGTATAAGTACCTTGGCGCCAGGGCTCTCCCTTCAGTTGTGTCAACCACCACAAGGAGAAAATATTGAATGGCGTAACAGAGGGGAGGTCAGGTGGGATGTGTGAATCACAGAGGTCGACTCAAAGAACTACAATTACAAGTGAGTAACCTGCCATTCTTCTTCGTGGCCTCTGTGAATCACACTGTGGGTGGCTAGCAAGTTGTCTTACGTGGAGGCAGGGTGTCACACCAAGGCAGAAGCCAAAAGACTGCCGCATCAGACTTCTGTCAAACATCTAGTCTATAATGCTGGACGAAGGTAGAATAGACCCCTTGGCAGGAACCAAGGTGTGGGAGGTGAAACCATAGAGGAGGGAAATGAAGTTTTGTTGTTTGTCAAGCGGGAGGAATGCGTGAACTCGGGTGGAGTCTATGGAAGCCCCAATATAATGAATAATCCTTGTAGGGTTCATTTTGGAATTTTGCATGTTGACTGTGAGACCGAGATCGCGAAGGAGGGATAAGGTGAAAAGGGTGTCTCTATGAGCATCATGGCAGGAACGAGCTACAAGGAACCAGTCGTCTATGTATGGGAAGACAAGGATCTTTTGAAGTCTGAGAAAAGCAGCCACGCACTTGAACCGATTCAAGGGTTACCATACAGAATTTTGTGGTGATGACATATTGATTGAGTTCTCTGAGGTCTAGAACAGGTCATAAACCTCCGTCTTTTTGGGGGATGGTGAAATAATGAAAGAAAAAACTTGTTTTGTTGTATAGGTTCTATTGCGTCCTTGATGAGTAATTTTTTTTATCTCCTTGTAGACTTTGGGACTGTGGAGTGACGATGTGATGCAACACAGGGAGTTGATAGAAATGGATGCGAATACGTTTTTGGACAATGGAAGGAACCCAGGTGGCGGTGGTGATGGACTAGCAGGCAGGTACGTGTTTTCAGAGGAAAGGGGGCTGATTTGAATACTAATAAAGAGAAAAAGATTTATAAGTTCAGCAGCAAAAAGGACTTGTTTCACTTTCAGACTCACAGAAGATAGACATACGAGGCTCTTCAATGCGGCAGTTGAAAGAAACTAAAGGGAAAGAAACTGGTGCCAAGGTACTTACACCGAGGAAGAGGGGGTCTATTCTAATATGTTTTTTGCTACCGTAGAAGCTCTAAAATATTCCAAAGAGGCTCCGCGCAGGTGCGGATCACCCACAGTGTGTGATTCACAGAGGCCACGAAGAAGAACCTCCCATATCTAATTTCCCACTACAGCAAGGAAAAATTATCAGTAAGTTTGGGGGTCTGATCTCATTGTCTTGATTCCCAAGGCCACACTTTGCTGGCCCACAGTATATCCTGTTCCAAAACTGTAGCAGTCAGTGTGATGCAGCCATTACTGCCGAACACAGGTTCAGAAGAATGGCCTTCAAATCCTCACTCAGCCAGCTCCATGGGTGACCTTGGTCCAGCCTCCCAGGTTGCTCTGAGGACAGAATGTGAAGAGAAGAGTCCCGTATGCCAACATGCCCTCATTAAAGGAAAGGCAAGATATAAACATAACATTGTTACTTTGATACAATTACAGAAAATTAAACAGAAAATAATTCAGATAGGTCTCTTTCTCTCTCTTTTGACACATGTATTGTAGAAGAAAAGATGGATGGTTTATAGAAACTTTTATTCCCCATTTTACGTTTGTTTTAAATTTACAACCTCCTGGAGCTATTCGCTTGTTCTTCAGTTGCATTTCCATGAAGGTAATTTATTCAGGTGAACAGTGTTGCATGGAAACAAGAAGCTATTGACACTAACCACACTAACTCTTATGATTCAGTTATATTTTTTTCTAATTGAAATCTTATTTGGTGAAGGTTCATAAGTCCATACTGACTATCTGTCCACGCATGCAGAGATAATTTATGATATAAGGCAAACACCCCATGGAAATCAACCCTAGAACTCCACTTTAGATACACACAGAAAAATAAGATACATTTTAGGATGGGCCAGTCTATAAACAGCATGAAGGTGAGGAAAGCAAATATATGCATTTCAGCTCTCTCCTTCCTGCACCCAAAGTATATGGACTCAAGACAGATTCCCATACTGAAACAGTTGCCATATTTCTCACACCTGCACACACCCTTCTTGTCTTGCCAGTGCTTGTCCATCATTATTTATTGGCAGTGGTCAATGCACAGCCTAGAGAAGCTGAGAAAGTAATGAAAACAAAACACTTTTTTTGTTATGAGATCTGTACTGTAAGCAGGACTGACTTGCAGAACGGACTGCTATCAGAGATTCACGAGGAAGGTTAGTGTGCATGGCCCAACGGCAAGCATTGTTGTAAGCCCTGTGTTGTAAGCCCAGTGAATAATTTCAGCATGTTTAAAAAAATTTATTTGGAGAGGGAAATGGGCTCCTGTCGAGTTGAAGACATTCTGGAAAAAGGAAATGCAAACAACCTTTCAACAATGTTAACCCCCACCCAACCTCAAAATCCTTTATGGCAATGCCTCTTCAGAAATCAGAAAAAGAAGTGTGCGTTTTTTTTCAGATTGCCATTCCCAAATTCTGGGGCTACAGGAATCTGGGAACTGCTACTTAAAACATAACTTCTCTAACATTTGCACTTGCTGTACATTTTCAGAGTAGCTGTAAAATATAACCACACAGCCAGGCACTTAAAATCCCTCTTGCAGCCAATTCACCATCAGAGGGATCTTGCATAATAGCTCAGCATAGGGGAAAGTGCTGCTTTGGGCAGAATAGTGAGTGAGATAAAAGCATGCAATTACACATACGGAAACTGTCCTTGGGAAGATGCTGCTTTTATAATATCCCTTTTAAGGCCTTTCCCTCACAAGTAACATCTACACTGAAGAAGAGGAAGTGGCAGTGAGTGTGCTAGGTTTGCCCCTTTGCCTCTACAATCTTTTAAACATGGAAAATGACTTTCTAGGACAGCCTCTTCTGTTCATGGACAGCAGACAGTAGCCTTCCACCAGTTTGCAAATATTACCGTATTTGTCTGTGTATAAGACACTACTTTTTCATAAAATCATGACCCTAAAAATTGAGGGGTGTATTTTACACGGACATAAGCTGAAATAGCTGAGGAGAGAACAAAACGGCACATTCCTTGCCTCTGTAAACGGGCTTCCTTCAGTCACGAGGCTTAGCTTCCTACAATCACAAACTGATGTCAGCTGATGCTGTACAAACCAACTGGAACACACCTTGTTGGAGGTGCAGCCTGTAGGCAGTGC